TCTCATAATTACAAAAAAATGAACAAAATGAAAAATTATGATTGGTAAAATATAGTTTTCACGGTTTGTACAAATTGAGTGGTTTTATTTGAACGCTCCTATATATATATATATGTTATAACCAGGTTTTAGACAACCTGGATTGAGGTAATTTATACATGTTTATTATGTGAATTACGTGAAATATGCATATCTAAGTAGAAATGCATGAACTATATATGTGGAATGTGAACATGATATTGTGCATGCATATATGTGAAAAGATGACATGATATGTATGTAATTTATACACATGCATGTGGTGTGAAGCATACATGAGGTGGTGCATATTTGTGATAAGATATTCTGGTGGAAACATTATTATATTATTTAAAAACTTATACCTTCATGGTTAAGAAATCATGAATTTTATGATAAATAAACCCACCACCGAAGGTTATTTCTATTGGATAAAAGATTCACCGCCTATGAGTTTTATAATAATTAAAATAATCTCCACCGCCATGGTGAGAGTATTTAAAGAAATAAAAAGATAAGATTCTATCTTATCATTTCATTTGAAGAAAAATCTGTTGAAAGAGAAAGAGAGTATTGTGGCGGTGAGAAGTGTTCTTGAACAAATCTTTTGTTCAAAGCTGTTTGAAGAGCTTGTGATTTGCTGTGTGTTTTAAAACTACAGAATCTGTGATTTGTTAAGGTGAGTTTTAAACATACTGTTGATTATACACTGTGAGTTTTTGATGACTAAAACCTTTATATATTTTGTTATATAAACTGTTGGATTTTGATATTGGTTTTAAAGAAAAGATGGTAAAACTATTTTGATAGTTTAAATGTGTTATTTTTATATATTTGTATATTAAAAACTGTTTTGGGAAAGATAAAGAAGGGATTGCTTCTTTAAAACAATTTTGGAAATGATATCCTGTTTTGAGGATTTAAAAGGGACATGATGTTTTTGGAAATCATTGAAAGAATATATTGTTCTTGAGTTTGAAAGGTTTTAATGATAAAACTGTTGGTTGAAAACTATAGAGAATATTCTTTTGAGATGATTGTAATTTTGATATGTTTTCATTTGGAATTAATCTATAGATTTTATGGATAAAACTATGAATGAGAATTCGATAAGATGGTTGTGACTRTGGTCCTTCATCCGAACTAGTTCATAGATTTTGAAGAAGAAATAAGGGTGGCATATCAAGGAGATGTGTCTTTTGGAATAAGGGTGGCATATCAAGGAGAGGTGTCTTTTGGAATAAGGGTGRCATATCAABRARAKRKGWCTTTTGGAATAAGGGTGGCATATCAAGGAGAGGTGTACTTTGGATATAAGGGTGACAATTGTGTGTGAATATTATGCTCTTACTATTATATGTTTTAAGACTACAATAGATTTGAGTCCTTACTTCTTTGTGATTTGAGAACTCAAAGATATTGTTCTTATTAGAAATAATAGTATTGATGTTATTGAGAAGGGAAAAACTTGGCCTATGGTCATTGATATTGGTTAAGAGTGTTTTGGAACAAAATGGTTATTTTCATGAGGAATCAGAGGGGCTCTGGTTGTTCCTTGTAAGGAACCAGAGGGGCTCTGGTTGGTCCTCATTATTGGACCAGAGGATGGTTATTGATTTGGAGAATGAGCAAGTTTTTACTAAATGTACTAATTGGACCAGAGGCTCTATATCTATTGATAAGAGCTTCTATCTCAAAATCATATTTTTAGAAGTTTTTAATAAAATGATTTTATATTTAGAATCTTTTTTTGAAAAATAGATCAGAGAGGCTTTGGTTGGCTTACACGTTGAACCAGAAGGCTTTGGTTGATCATGTCTTTTGAACCAGAAGATCTGGTTAGTACAACCAGAGGCTCTGGTCGAGGAACCATAAGCTCTGGAAGAGAGAGACCAGAGGGGCTCTGGCCCTAGTTATTGAAATATATTCCAAGTGTGGTTTGGAACCAGAGGCCCGATGGACCGAAACAATATGATTTTAGTTTTGCTACATGAGATGAATTATTTGAAATAAATGTTTTTGTGATCTTCACCCTGCATTACATAAAAGGGAACCTTACTAGACATTCATGTCTAACCCTCATTTTTGTGTTTTCAAAAATATGTGTGCATGTAAAGATAATAAGGGAAAGAGCATTATGTGAATTACTTCCCTATGTGCTTAGTTGTGTGAAGATCTTAATTAGCCACGTTTTGGAGTAGAGATGCTAGGATACAAGAGCATGTACCTTGAAATTTTTGGGTTGTATATTTTAGTCTCTTGTATTGTGGACCTATATGGGAGAAGACATGTATTCTATGTATAATATATGTGTTATATGCAATGTATGATTGGGGGTGTTACAATATATATATATATATATATATATAGGGGCGGGTTCAAATGAAAACTATGCAATTCTAAGAAACCGTGTAAACCAATTTCGACCAATAGGAAAATTCTAATTTTTTTAATTAAATTTAATCAATAAGGGTATTTCGGTCATTTTTCATATCTTTTTGATAAATAAGGAAGTTATTAATAAATATTAAATAAGGAAATTTAATAATGGAAATTATATAAATGGTAACATTTAAAAATTTTATTATAATATAATATTAAAAACTTGATTTTAATTTTTTGTTATTCAATGAATCTGGAAACGTGATATGAAGATTCTAGCTTCTTATGGAATKAAATCTTGATTTGAGATTGGAGGAAAAAAATCATCCATGTTCATGAAACTGTTTCAATGTGAAAATGTTTCATTGTAAAATGGTTTATTTGCTTCTTCTAGRCATATTTTACATGTTAATGAAATAGGTTCATGATGGTGAAAATGTTGATGCTCTAATTGATTCATGATTCATGATCTAGTTTYRTGRTGATCCATGTTGCTTTGTGATTGAAGTTGATTCGTTTAGTTGGTAGGATGAAAATGAAATGGGTGCATAATGCATTTTGTTCTTTATGAAATAAATGTATGATAAAACGGGTGCATATTATATTTTGTTCTTTATAAAATTAATGTTCATGAAACTGTTTCAATGTGAAAAAGTTTCATTATAAAGTGGTTTATTTTTGTTAACCAATTTTTCCCTTAATATTGAAATAAAATAAATTTTTAATATTTTTTATTTTTTAATTTCCTAAAATAAAGTAAACTAATCTTAGCCATTGATCAAGAAAATGGATGGATGAGATTGGTTTACACGGTTTACACAAATGGGACAAGTTTTTATTTGAACGCTCCTCTCTCTCTCTATATATATAGGGTATATTTCTTTTACAACCTCCCCTGTTTGTGCAACCCTTGCAACCTCCCTTTTAACCAATCATTGAATACTATTTTTTTTTTAATTTATTTTTTAAATGAAAAAGTTAATATTGTCATTTGTTAATTTTATATAATAATTATTATTTTTAAATAAGATCAATAAATATCTTATTAATTATAAAACCATATAATTACTATTAATAACTGAAAATGATATGGTAATTAAAACCTTACTAAATAATACTTTTCTTTAACAAAATGGAAGGAATCGATAGAAGCATATTTTAGTAGAATAATTTATCATACTCATATGGATCCCATCTCCTTCAACGAGACATTCGTCAAGGATATATTTGATGAAATCGATGGCATTAACGGTAAACGTAAAGGTTTTGTTCTTGATCGTGAATTTGCAACTGCAACTAATGATGGTACAACACAAGATAAATGCAATTACTCAGCTAGGGATGAGGATGGGTGCATTCGTCAAAATGAAACAATACCTGAGCGTAGTGACTCGATTACGGACGGAGTTTCTGCAGAGTTTGACGATGATGATGTTTTGTCCTTGAGTAATGAAACTGAAGGTACTATTTTGTTCTTGTAACTGTTGTAAGAACTGGAAACTTGTAATGAAACCCCAAAAGACAATCCAGAGTTTGTTGATTGTTGTCCTAGCATTCTAAATCGTCAATGAACACCATAGTCTGCACTTTTATCAACTGTTGGGAGAAAGAGAGTGGCCTATAATGAAACCAGATTCTGCAGGTTATACAACCAGTTATGGATTAATCTAGAAAGAGCTAATCTCAAAACAAACAAAGATTAACAAATATCAACTTAATGAAATCCATTAAAAAAATCTCTAAGTCTATGTCATTATCTATTCATGATTGTTGATTTTCAGGAGGGAAATGAACATTATGGTAAGAATCTATGTTCTACTTCACTAACCAGTGCAATGTGTCGAGTCATCTGCTTCTTCGACTGTAAGAACTGGGCCAGCAACTTGACCTGCAGCTGGTTTCATTACACTTTATACATATTAGTAGGTACAACGAACAAGCTAAGATGCATATGGTTTTAATTCAATGAACAAGCTAAGATTCATCTGGATCATTGATTAAAGTCTAATAATGGATACTGATGAAACCAATTACATCAGTGTATAAAATAACAAAGATTTCAGCAATGCAACAATGTAACCAGAGTGAGACAGGGGTTATACGGAGTGGGCAGTTTGAATGCTCTTTGAACCATGCTTCTAGGCACTCAACATGATACCCATGACACACCTTTCTAATATGGCTAACCGTTCACCCAAGACCACATCGCACAAGCACACGATGCAGTCGGTTCGAGAGGAGTTAACGGTGAGCTCCTTAACTGTCATGTTATGGTGTGCATGAGGATTAGTGGATGAATGTTTTAGCAAGTAAGAATTGACATAGTAAGCTATCATAATCATCATCATCATCATCTTTAAAATGTAATCAATGAAATTAGATTCATTAGCAACTAATTTCATGTATACGCTATATGTCAGTATGTCAAAGTATGATTACCTACATTATGTCTTTTGCCCACATATTCATCAAGTTATAATCATGTTGTTGTCTTACTGTTTTGAATCTAAAAGCGGCTTTACGATACAATTGCATTAATATAAGATTCATTTTGGTTATTGTTGTAGATTATCGATATCAAGACATGGGGGAAACATTTGATGGGTCGAAATATTGGTTTCCTAGTGTAGACGTAAAATATAAACCTAAGGTTGGTGATTCTTTTAAGTCTGTAGAATCAACTGAGAAAATGTTTCGGAAATATGCCAAAGAAGCTGGGTTTGATGTACGTTTATCTAACAAGAAGATAAATAAGCTTGGTCGTATCACGTCCCGATTTTATGTGTGTAGTAAGGAAGGGAGGCCACAAAGTAAGTATTTTGATTCCTTAGATGTTCTTCCAGGTGGTCGTACAATCCGAAATTCAAATATCAAGTGTTCCGGTTGTGGAGCATGTTTAAAAATTCACCTTGTTAAAGAACCGAACCAATATGAAGTTTACAAGTTTGTTGAGCAGCACAATCACATCCTTTTTAATAAAGAGGAGATGAGATTTTCCCGTTCTAAAAGGCAACTCCACTATGCTGATCATAAGAATGTATTTCATGGTTCTAGTTCCAAGGTTGGCGTCACCAAATCTCATAGATTCATGAAAGCCGTTAAGGGTGGTGTAGATTCATCGAGTGGCATTGTAAGAGATCATCAAAACTTCAAACGCGATATGACATATTTTGTTGGCAATAAAGACACACAAATGTTATTAAATGTGATGGCTAATAGGAAGAAAGTTTGTCCTGAGTTTTTTCGAGTACAAGTGTGATGACAAGGAGTTGTTAGCAATTTTTTGGGCTGATGAGACTGCACGATCAAATTTTAGGGAATTTGGTGATGCAATCTCATTTGATGCAACGTTTAGGACCAACAAGTAAGTTGTAGTTGATATTAAACTATTATGTTGGTTTTATCAATACTCTATCTTGTACCTTCTATTAATTTTCATTTATTTTTGATAGGCATGCTATGATATTTGTTCCGTTCGTTGCAATTGACAATCATAAGAAATCCGTTGTTGTTGGAGCTGCATTGATTCATAATGAATCCCTAGTTGATTACACATGGGTATTAAAAGCGTTTGTAAAAGCACATGGACGTCAACCACGTTTCGTTATCACCGACCAATGTGAGTCGATGAAACAAGCAATTCCCATTGCATTTCCTGAATCCAGGCATCGATTGTGTATGTGGCATATCAGTAAAAAGGTGAACTCGAAGGTAATTAAGATGATAGTTTTTGTAGTAATTTTTTTGTTCATTTTCATTTCTTATGCAATTGTTTTGATGGTTTACTTCGCAGATTAGTAATTACCTCCAACACCGTACGCAGTTCGTTAGCGAATTTAATAAGTTGGTGTGGAACGTTCACCTTGGTCCTAATGAATTTGAGATGCAATGGAACAATCTGATTGAATTTTATGGATTATGTGGAGATCCATGGTTTGATGAATTGTACGATATTAGGGAGTCGTGGATTCCGGCTTAYTATAAGGATTATCATATGTCAGGCCTAATGAAAACAACATCCAGGTCGGAGAGCATCAATGCGTTTTTTAACGTTTATGCACATTTTTGGCATGATCTTGTTGTTTTCCTCCGTTCTTTTGATAATGCAATTGAAAGTCAACGGGCAACACATGGCTAAGATGCATCTGGTTTCATCACAATGAACAAGCTAAGATGCATCTGGTTTCATGAGTACATTTCATATGCCTTCACATGATGACATAACGTTTACAAATGAACTTAGATTCATACTTAAGATGATGAACCTGGTTTGTGAAGCCAATTTGATCACTGTTTGTGATGAAGCCAATTTCATCACTGTTTAGCTTGAAGCCATTTTCATCATGTTGGACATGTTTTAACCAAGTACATTCTTCATAACTGAAAGTGATCAAACCTAATGGACTTTGACCTTGCCCTTGCCAACATGGATGCTACACTGCCTATGTCAAAATGGAACCAAGTATCACACGGTCCTGCACCACATTGCCTTGACTAAACACAAGTACATGACCATGTGGAACAACCCACATGAATCTGGACAACCATGAAGTTTCTCCATGTCGTATTTTGGGTTTTCTCAATCCAGTGTTCATCACTGTTTGTGATGAAAACCCGATTCAGTAAATCAAACCCTTTATAAAATGTGTGCGTATGTCAAACATGTGTGCCTATAATGAATACATATTCACAATGCAACACAATTCACAATCATATAATGCTTATGATCTATAGGCTAGAAAGAGTTACTCTCGAAGCAAAAAAAGGATTATCAAATCCTATAATGAATCCAATTTGGCAATGCAGTAGCAAACAAAGATTATCAAATCCATCTCGATAGGTCAAGAAATTGGGTGAATTTAACATTATGGTAAGAATAAATGTTAAACTTTACTAACCATTGAAATGTATTGAGTCATCTGCTTCTTCTACTGTATGAAATGGGCCATCAAATTGACCATCACCTGGGTTCATTATAAAACAATCAACTTCATCTTCGTCTAAATTAACATGATTTGAAGCATTGTAAAATATTACTTAACATGATTTGACTGTTGTTTCATGTCATCTATAACCAAAAGTTGTTTAACATGTATTTTCAAAATTTGTCTGGTTAGCATCAAAATTTTGAAAATTCGTTATTTACTAACCATCAAAATGCGTTGAGTCATCTGCTGCTTGGAATGGAAGAACTAGTTCAGCAGGTTGAAATGTAGCTTGGTTCATTTCAAAATCGTCAACTTCATCTTTGTCTAAAACAACAGGATTTGCAGCCGTGTTCTTGAACTTAGAAAAGGAATTCCTAATCATGATTCTCTCGCTCCTTTTTCTTACTGAATCATAGACATATCGCACAATAAGATTGAATAAAATAAGCATACGAAATGGAATCAACTATACGATTACCTCGATTTGCTGCAATTACAATCCCCGGTTGAACATTGTCTGCCATATCTTCTTCTTCAGAATCATATGAAGTGTATATTCAATGAATCTCGCTAATGTATATTCTGCAGAGTGATTATCGCATTCCTAATCTCATAGAATCGTTTCTTAGAATAGATGCAATTCCCCATTCCAATTTTACCCTTATTTTGCCCTCAATCTATCAAGCGCATGTTTCAACGTTTCATGTTTATTACAATTTTGCTATGAAATGCATCTTGACCATAGATGAAATATTGAATGGATGAGATGAGGGTTGCATAAGGTGTAGGAACGGCAAAGGGTGTAGAATAACCTCCCTCTCTCTCTCTCTTTCTCTCTCTCTCTCTCTCTATATATATATATATATATATAGGGCCAAGATCAAATGTTTTTGTGTTAACCTTATTAACTGATCTTGGCCATCCAAATCTATAATCAACGGTTAAGATTAATCAATAAAAAAAATTAAATTTTAAAGTTTGAATTTTAATGAGGCCTAGTGAACAATGATGAAAGGGGCATTTTGGGAAGAAAAAATACACTTATCAAGAGTATTCTAGTATATTGAATTCATTTGTAACCCCCACACAATTAATGGAGAGTTACAAACAATCAAATCCCAAAAAATATGCATTCATATTATTATTATTTTTTTACTATTAATCTTTCATGTTCATTCTTGTATGAATTCCTAAATCGTATAAGAAATACGGTAGTAAAAATTTTCGGTATTGATCAATTTGAACACAAATGAACCATGAACACAATTTGAACAAAAATGAACAACCGTGAATACAATTTGAACATAAATGAACTATGAACACGATATGAACACAAATGAACACGATATGTGCAATTTTGGCCCATATATTCACATACATAAACGTCCCACAAAATTAAGGTAGCATCTGTTAATTTGTGTTCATCTGTTAATTTGTTCAAATTGTGTTCACTGTTCATTTGTGTTCAAATTGTGTCCATGGTTCATTTGTGTTCAAATTGTGTTCACGGTTCATTTGTGTTCAAATTGTGTTCACGGTTCATTTATATT